CCTTCGGTAGGATCAAGTTTCTAAACTTAATGTAACGTCCTGTGGGATAGTAATTTATACCAATGCTATTATAATGCGAAGCTCCAGGTAAAACAATACATATAGCTTATAGATGATATTGTGTAAGTACTTTGCATGATTAATGTCTGAATTATATTTGGTATTTCCTAATGTATAACCCATAGAATAACGTCGGCAATAGCATGACATTCTCATTTCTATACCATTATCAATTCTTTTAAAAATTCCCTTTGATTTTTAACCGACTTCCAAAAAAAAGGAGGACGTTCTCAGTTCGACTGTATTTTTTTTCTGTTACCTCAAAGTTTTTCAGAGTGGACTGATCTTGATATTTTTTTTAATCTCTATTTGAAAGCTAGTGCTTGCCGTGTGATCCCATTCAATTTGGTCCAGATCTGGCAATGGCATTTATGAAATAACTATATAAGTATTAAATTTGCATTAAGTATGTGTAATGTTTATTACCCCAAAATTCAAAATATCACTAAAATGCATGAAGTAAATCTTAAAAAAAAATTCACTTCAATTTCTTAAAAAAATAACCGCTTTTAAGATAACTATTAATTTTCTCTTTTTATTTTTTTTTTTAATGTTTTTAACCATCGATGTTATTTCACAACTATAATGCTTTATGCAGTGCACTACAGTTTCCTCTAAAATACTGATAATGTCTTGGTAATTTCATAATTATTGAAAATTGAAATTTGTGATTGAAAATCACGAAGGCAAAGCGGAAAGTAACACCGGAGAATAATGCGATAATTGCAAATTTTTATTTTTTTTAGAAAAATAAAAAAAACCTTAAATTATTTAATATCCCAAAACAAACTGTTTTGAGAAAAATGCTTTTGATGTTAATTGAAAGATGATTTTATTCTTTAACTATTGCAGGACAAAAATAATAATATTTTATTATATTTAGGAAATTAAACACAAAAAAGAATAATACTATGAATCTTTAAATTTTTACTGTTGGCAATCTTACCACTTTATTTCCCGCCACCACCAAGATTATTGCAATAAATTACCGCGATATTGACGCTGTATTTTAACACTTACCTCTTTATGAGCGATAACATTTTACCACCTTATAACGTTTTGAAAATTTTAAAAGAATAACTTTTGAACGATATTATTCCCAGCTCATTTTATGCAAACTATTACTGTAAAAAAATAATGCAACAAGAGTAAATTTAGAACTGTAGAACTGTCATCAGTATATAATTGTTAATGTTAACAGATTTTCTATGAATGATATTTTTTTTTCTGCTTCCATAAACAATAATTTCTATAAATTATATAAACAATAAAAATGGTGAAATTAAATATCTAACGTTAGGGAACATCAACTTGCAGTTTTATAGATTGACATAGAATTTTTTATAAGACCTGTGCGCTGAATATCAGAGAGAAAATATCAGATACGGCGCATGTTTTTTTTACATAAAGTTGTCATTGAAAAAAAGAAGTGTTGACAAATAATTTCTTTGTGGCGCACTATTGTAAGATTTATACAAAAGCAGAAAGTGTATTGTTGTTCATTCATATAATTAAAAAATACAGAAACTTTTGACTATTGGACTCTTAGACTTATCTACCACAGTTTTCTTCGGGATATCACTACTAAAGTTCATCAGTAGTTTGCCAACATGATACTGTCTCATTGGTCTTGATAACTTTCCTCCATAATCGTGTCGGTGAAATCTTTCTCAATGTATACTTTTTATTTGATTTTAGTTTTTTTAATGATTAGTTGATAAAAATTAGGACCCTTTGCCTTATGAAAAGTGAAAAACTTAAGTTATTTAGAATAACCAGTTGAGATTTTGTTTTCTCAATTCAGTAACAGGCCGCTAACTTATAAATGTAACCCTCTTCGAGAGAAGCATCCCCATAGGCTTACACGAAGATCGGTCCTGTGAACCTTTGGAAAGTGTCTTATTACCAATTGTACTGGGTATGAATTGACAGTGTCCATCGTCACGCTATTTAGATAATTCACGTTTGAGTTGTTCTCGAGTGTTTCTGAAGCTCAAGTTGGAAACTCTTGGAGTTTTAGGTTTATTCAGACATTGATTGGAGCGTAGATTTCGTCAATTTCTACTTCGACGTTGATATTTAATATGCCTCTTACTAGTCGCCGACCGCTACCCATTTTGATGGCATTGATTGCAAAGACATCATTGAATATCTTTTCGGGAGAGGATTTCTATCCAAAAAACGGAAGATGTTTTATTTATTTATGCTAAGTACTACGCGGGATTTCCATTACTATTTCGCAAGTCACACCTTTCAACCCTAACATTCGTTTCAGTAACACTCAATTGAAAGTTAATAAGGTACACATTAATATGTACAGGACTGTAGGAATTGGTAATCGGGTGAGGTCCCCGTAGATTTTGCGTGCGTGCAATGGCGGCGAATTATTGATGCGGACGTAACCCAACTCAGATGTGTTAGGATTGCTGGGTATAATACCTGTCAACTATGCATACATGTTGGATTCAGCTTTTGTAGTAGCGATTGTCTATCGACAGTTTTGGTAAAATGTTGTAGAATTATACCGCAGACATAAAAAAAAAACAACCAGGAAAGAGACTTCAGAGTAAATCGTAGAAAATATCTTGGATAGTCCTGGCTGGATAGTGGATACTTAATTTTTATACCGGCATGAGGAGTCAATACATCAATCCGCACTGGACCTGCTTCCCATCTATTTGCCTATGTGATTCTGGTCATAGGGAAGGCCTGTACCCCAGCAATGGGGCCACCGATAGCTTGGTGATGACGAAGATATTTGTTTTTTGCCAATTAATGAATTGACCGACTAATCGTTTGTGTCGAAATTACATTCACTTTTATTATGCAGATGCAGCCAGTATCAAAAGGTAACGTGCCTTCCAAAGCAGGGAGGATACTCATAAATATTTGGTCACATGTCTTATAATCGGCTCTTGCGAACTTTGCTTAAATTACGCCATCGAGCTCCATCGAGATCTTATCGATGTTCCGACCGTTTTTCAAGATCAACTGTCGATACCGTAACTTTTGCTATTGCAACAACATTGGTTGTATATTCTTACGCTTACCTCAGTTCTAATAAGGGTTTAAGTCATACATTTTTTAGTTCAGACTGTGTGACAGGGGTTGTTGAATCTTCGTATTTATTTTTCGCTAACTTCTTTTCTTTAAGGCAAGTTATATGGACTGTTTGTATGCTATTATGTATGCGTCTTTGATTATGTAAAAAATATAGAATATTTTAAAAAGTTTCACAAGGAATAAAATGAAGTTGCACGAGCAGCTTCACAGCTTCACTCAGGAACGAAACGGTAATGAGTTCTGTGCAAACGGGTGTCTGTACTATGTTGTACTGACGATTTTTCAGTTGGTAATCTGTATTGAAATTCTTTAGCATATTATTTAATTCTCACTTTGAATACTAAGAATCCTTGTTTTAGAATAAAATACTGTTATTTTTGTTAGCAAATTTTATTGGATTATAAAATTATATGTTGTTTCCTCCGGGTGGTCGACGGTTAATAAGAGATTTTTACCTCAAAAAAAGAATACCTCTCAATCTTCACACAAAAATCATATCATTGATAAATTTGAATTCCGTTGGGACATGAAAGAATGATAATAAAACCTAAGATTCGGGTAATGTGTTATATTTATAATTCTATATTTGCCGTACTTTAATATTCACAAAGTAGAATATTATTTTGTATCGTTAAGATATTATTTTCAGTAATATCATATTAAAAATGACTATACTACGTTTCATTTGACGTTACATCCATCCTTACTCTTTGTTTGCATCTAAAAGCCTACTCAATCCCCAGGGCTTCAGTCTCTCGTCCATTTGCAGTGACGCGAGCATCGACGAATTATTGATGGCCTCGGAAGCGAACCTGATGTGAACTTTGAAATAAAACTGTTTCTGAGTACGGCACTTTGCATGAATGAATGTTCTGAAAGCTTAATAGCATTTGCAGTCGTTAATGCCATCCAATCCGCAATGGGTCTCCGTTATGCGAGGGTCATCACCCATCCTCTTTAACCAATTAACCATACGATAGTAGTTCGGCAAAAGTTTTTGGAATAATTGAGCGCAACGATTTTTTTTACTAAAATTATTTTGCAATAGCCTACTCTGCAATTCTTTCTTTACCTTACTAAACAAAAGCTCGGCTAAAATATTCTTGTGTTATACGAAACATTATATAATCTGAAATACGAGGAACAAAGTGGGGATTTCTTTAGGATTTAGAGTATACGCTGCAAGGATATACAGTTTAACTACATTCCATTGCTGACTTTCTGACAATCCACGGGTCTTGCATTCATGATGAGGAATAAAAACCATTATTACGTTTCGAAAACATTATTCAAAGTTTTAGTAATCTCTCCACTTGAAAGGATTGAAAATATGTTTATTATAAGTTACTTTTTCATGCGACGAGTTGACGGAAATGATAAAATTAAGAAGATTCAAAGCCTGAACCTGACATATGGCATGTGTTTATCCTACTAAACAGTCTCCTGGGGAATTTGGAATAATAATTTCGAAATTCCGAATTAAACTCCAAAAGCAATTTATAACCTCCATTGAAATTATTTATGTATCTTTTTATCCTGTAGTGATCTATTTCATTCAATGACGCCAAATCGTAGACGGGTTTCGCAAATTCTTTATAAAAAAAAATTAAAATCCATTTGGCTGTGTTTTCTTTTCTGAATTCATACGACTGTTACATGTATACAAACTACCTTTCCATTTCGGTAAAATTTTAAAAGAGTGAAATCGTATTCCCCTCAAGACTCACCTTAGATAGTCTCAATATATTTCTTAAACGTATAAAAATTCACGCGACCTCATAAGATAACTGAATGCGATTTTAATTTGTCACATCTGAGTTGATCGAGCGGCTTGCATTATTCATGCCCGCCCGGTTTAGTAGGTACCCGGACCGGCAATGATTCGCGGATTTACTCGGCCAAGATTAACTCCAGGAACGGGGGATCTTGATGGAAAATTCGCGTCAGATAAATGCGGTATTAAGTTCAATTTCGAGATGCCGCCGCTCGCTCTGCTTGCTCGCTCGTAGCAGCCAGACAGATCTGAGCGAGTTACTAGAAGATATATGAGATGCTTATATTATAGCTCTTCGGAATGTATTTGTATTTTCTTTAACGTCAAGACAATATCACACACATTCATCAGATCTTAAAACTGAGCAGCTTATATTTATGCGAATCTAAGCAACCAAGTTTTTACATCACCCAGAACTGAGACAATATACAAAAGTTCACCTGGCAAGGATCAAGTTAGGTATGGAGTAGGTGTTAATCTTTACTTGACAAGTTCGGAAAGTCGGCTTGTCGAACCCTGAATTATTCATACTCTTTGATTTAAGAAGCGAAGTGTCCGATACCGGGTTGTGTACTATAAAATTCTTGTACACAGTTGGAAACATTTTAGGGCACTTGGAGCAATCTCTTAAAAACTTATCTCTTATAGTCTTGAGTCTCGGACTCAGACCGTTACGTAATTTTTATTGCTGAACGTGTTTTGTTTTGTTCCTATTACTTATTAATATTCATTTTGTGTAAATGATTTATTTAATAATTTAAATGTGTAATATAGAGAACTGTAGGTTTTGTTTTTTGTTAAGATTTGTGCTCATATTATTTAAAAAACTGTCTGTTCCTCCATTAAATAAATGAAAATTCTGCAATTCAGTTGCACAAACTAGACTTAGGTTTGGTCCTGTCAACAATTGTGAAAATTACTAAGATAAATAGAAGAAAACCAACTACAGTTTAGTATATAGGAGTGTAATTGTATTTCTTTTCGCAATCCGGGCGACTGCTCTAACCGCTGAGCTACCCAGGACCTAACAGGACTGACGAATCTTTCAAGCACTTGTTTGTTATTTTCGCTACTAAAGAGCGTATTCTTATCAATGTTCAGACATCCACCTAAACAGCCGAAATAAATATTGTTACAAATATTGAAACTTTCGATAAAGATGAGAATTTTGTTCTAATTATTTTATTTTGATTAATTTTGCCATACTGAAAATTATTCTTAATACAAAATGCTTTCCCATCTCAGTGTACCAGGGACCAAGTGGATTTTTTAAGCATTTTGTTTTATGAATAAATAATGTCTATTTGGAACTCACCTACATGTAAGCCGGGGTGGTTTAGTTTGTGATCGGATAGGTATACGAAATATTTTTTCTGTTCAGTCATAAATACATATTTTTAACGTTTTTTTCATTAATAAATAAAAAAATAAATTAGAGACTAAATATTTAACAAGTTATAACCATGTTAAGGGTTTCCAACTTAAAAATTAAAAGTTTGGTCCATCGAATAGAAATATCAAATTGAACTTCATATCAAATATTTTGGTTAGCAATTCTTCGTGATAGGAATCAAAAACATCAAACTTGTAAGTCCATATCAATTTGCATATGTCTGTGGAATAAATTTAAAACAAATACAAATTAAACTTAGGTTTTCTCAGTTTAGAGTAGAGACAGAGAGTGGTATAACTGAATTGGCACCATAGCCATGCTGTCTACGAAGGCCAACTATTTTGTAAAGACTACCTCCGAGTGATTCATACGTGGGTAGCCGAGTGGTCGAGTTTTCGGTCTGGTATTGCAGTTCTATCGTCGTCATACCATTAAAACATGAAAATTGTATATCAAACGTATTTTTGTAGGGTCGTGTACTTGAACTTTCAACAAACTAAGGCGTTCTGTAAGTAGTACTTCTTATTTATACATATATAAAAGGAGATGTCCTGATATACTGACCGATAGACAACGAACAGCCTAGACCGCCTCGTAGAGACCTGGTGATTAGAGGAGACATTCGTCTTATTTAGAGGTGTACTAAGAACAGAATTCTTAATTCCACCCCGAAGCGGGTCAAGAGGGGTGGAAATGTTTGTAAGAAGTTTTGTTTTGGACCTATATAAATGAAATTTGGTATTTGGGTAGTTTAAGACCCTAGGACTCTAAAAGGGTTATTTAACACTTAACAACAGGAAATAGAGAGGGAAAATTTTTATGGGGAATCAAAATGTTACCATAGCAACCATTGTTTACAATTTAATTTGTCATTGTTAAAGATTTATGAGTACATAATTGATAACAAAATAACATTTTAAAATATCCAAGTACACATCATTTTATATACGAAAGAAAACACAAACTATACTTTTTTAGGTTATGCTTGATAGCGTCAAGTATGTCTCTACACCACACTGTTTTACCTAATTTGGTCAAGGTTAAGTTTTAATATATATATATTTTTAATTATATTTGTAACAATGTAATTGACTTCATGAAATAATTGATTAATATGATTTGTTAAAATAATCTACTTGACATGGTTAAAATACTTAATCTCCTTGACTTTCCCATACAATTATTTGACTTGTATGGTTTAGACTCGGTAAATATTTTACAATTCAAATTAAATACCTTAGTATTTAAATTGAATTGTAAAAGATTTACCAAGTGTCACTTTCTAAGTTGGCCAATAAATCAATAATTTAATTTAAAATAAAATGTAGTAAGAACATTTTAAATGTAGTACTTTGTTGAAAGTTCAAGTACACTTTGGGGGTGGCCTACGCCCAGCAGTGGGCGTCTCTCGGGTAATATGCTGATGTAGTAAGAAAAAACTTTAAGCTTTGCTATAGTAGCTTCGGCGGCGTAGTGGATAAGCGCCGCGGCCCGCGATCGTTGTCGTTAAGCAACTTTCGCAAGGGTCGGTCACGGGATGGGTGACCAAAAAATTATTATCTCGAGCTACTCCGTGCTTCGGAAGGCACGTTAAGCCGTTGGTCCCGGCTGCATTTGCAGTCGTTAATACCCTCCAATCCGCATTGGGCCAGCGTAGAGGGTCATGGCCCATCCTCCTTAACCATCCATAAGGAAGGCCTGAGCCCCTGCAGTGGCGACGTAAAAGGGTTGGTGATGATGATAATGATGATTCTAGATGGCGTTTATTCCTAAACTGCGTTATTATTTTAATCAAAGAATTTTATATGTGTGTTAAGCTCTCACGCCTAATCCACTAAAAATAGTAGACGTAGTAGTAGTAGACGAGATACGACCTAGGCTGCTTTTTATTGTAAGAAAAAGGTTGAAATAGGAATAAATTTTGTATGGAAGTTCGTCATTGCCAAAGATAAAATCATGAAACTTTATATTCAAGTATGAATAATATTTGTGTTACGAACTCTATTCTATTTTATTCGTCTTTGTTCTTTCTGCGGTCATGTAAGTCAGCTGCGTATTTTAGTTTGTATATATTTTAATTGTCTTTATTATATTATTTCCTTGACTTTGAGCTTCTTGTCTTCCAACTCTTATCACTTCTACCTATCTATTATGATTTTTTAACGTTATTAGAAATGCTGCTCAAAGTAACTATACCACGCGGAAGAAGTCGCGGGCAAAAGCTAGTATACTAATAAAAACAGTCACAATAATAATCTCTCGGTCAATTTATTTAATAACTGTTACTTTTCCGAATGATCTGATATTCTAGCTAGATTATTCTGATACTAACAAATATATCCGTATAGTGTTCAGTCTACAACACTATCTGATGATCTAATATCGGTTTCCATTCAACGACCTGTATGTACCTAACGCGCGAAATGACTGTGAGTAACCGAACCCTTTGATGGATAGCCTCCGGCACTGTAGGAAGCTATTTGTCATAATTTGACGTTAATGGTGCCGACGTTTGATCGGCGAGGTGTCTCGTTGATTTATGCCATTGTTATGCGTTGATATGCCAATTAGAATATTGTTTTGATCTTATTGCTTCTTCCTAATTTAGGCCCTGGAATGTTTTCAAATGTTAGAAAGGTTTGTGATATGATTTTATGAAAAAAGACGTTAGTTCAGTAGATTATCGTCATATAAAAAATACTGATTAGGTTTGTACACCACAATAATTGCCGTATCTTAGGATACGGCAATTTTTCATAGGCTACTTGAAATAGTTAAATACAGCTACGAACCAATATTACTTTTAAAAGTTTTCTTGACTATTTAGGACAAGTATACCTATTGAATGGAATTAGACGAATGGTGAATTAATATACATGTGTACTAATTCACCATAATATGCCATATTGTTAATTACACCAGATTGAGCACATCAAACTATTTGTTGAGGAGCTTTAGGGAGCTTTAGTTTGGCCGGGGGCTATTTAGCCTTATATTTTAATTTATATTGAATAATTTTAAAATTATATTTATCTGTTTTTTTCTTAAATATTACTGTAGTCGTGTGAGGCCCGAAGTTGTGTTAAATCTAATAAAAACGACAAAAGATCATGATTGATAAATTATTAAGAACAGTCTGAGATCGCGTCCTTTGTTCGAAGAGTTTGGCGCTCCCGTGTTTTTAATTCTTTTTTATATTATTAGTTAGAAACCAATTTTCAACCGTCATTTATTAGATCCTTTGTTTTTGTTGCAGATTCAAGAAACATTATAATCACTATTGTTAGTCAATCGGAGCCTTATCACGCCAGTGTGGCTAGAAGGCTCAAGCAAGATATAGAGGGCCAAGTGTTAGAGATAGAAAAGGTAAAAATATTGACAATTAATCAACAAAAATTGTATTACGTGTAATTTTATTTTACTTTGTTACATTTAATTTTACTTTACTTACACTTGTAATTATAGAAGCGTGGAGTGAATAATGAATCAGTTGGAGGAAGGTGAAGTTAGTGAATATTGTGTTCTCGTAGCTTTTCGTTTGGCAAATGATAATTTCGAACTCGTCAGTCCTTATATAAACTGAAGCATTTACTTGTCACTATCAAAATCTCATTGTACGACACATAATTGATGTGGAACACCTGCTGATGTCACGTATGATAAATAGGTTAATTTACAAGGATCATTCGTCTTCGGCGCCGCGTTTAACGTCGTTTCATATCGAATATCTTATTACTCCGCGAACGAAAAGATTATGTCAAGAGCTACGTCGTCATACGTCTTGATTATAAGCTATTTTATATCAATATCAGTGTACCTTAAATGAATTTTAAGGGTTTAGATTCTTACTTTGTGAGAGATCATATATCTAATATCTAACAATAGTCTTCCACTTTCTTATTTATCAATTTAACGTTCGAGTTTTTGGTTATAATGTAAATAAAATCTTTACGTTTTGAACCAGCGTTTACCAACTGTCTACTTAACTCACGAGGACTTCCCCGTTCCCGGAGCGTGGACTATAATACCTCTGCTGCGTCCATTGGTGAACAAACACAAAGGGAGTGATGTACGATGGGTACTCTTCGTAGAGCCTCATACAGCGGTCGTATGCGACAAACTTCTGGAGGCTTTAGCAAGTGCTGACAGACAGCAGGTAACTTTTTTATGTAAACAGTATTGAATTGGGTAATATTTTCAGATCTCTCTACTACTACTGATGATGTTGTTTGATAATGGGTAGATGGTTTAATTAGTAATTGAATATGGTTAAAATTTTTGCCACTTTTGCTAAGAAAATATACAGTGCTTTATTAGCGTTTGCTTTCTTTCAACATCAAACATATTTTGATATTAAATACTACAAACGCTCAGTTTATTACGGACATCATAAGATTTATAAATAATTATTCATCACTATTCAGGACACAATGTGGATAGGCTATCCGCTGAGCGACGAGGAGCCTACCATAATACACCACTTTATGTTTTACGAGGACTTGGAAGAAGAAGGTGGCTTCGTATATCCTAACTTTGCAAGCGGTTTCGCTATGAGGATGGAGTTGATCGACACGTAAGATGTTATTCAAGTTTTTTTGTTGTTTTTTATAAACAGTTAATGATGCAATATCTTTTGTAAACGTGCCTTGTTTGGAAATGTGGCACTGTACTTCGATTTTGGTTTAATATATGATTAAATTTTTTATATAAATATACACAACAAATTGATTAGTTATACGTGTCTCAGATATTCTATCCTATATCATTACAAAACTCTCTTCATTTATGCCACGAAACGTTATGACCAATCCAAAATTGAGAGGTTGTCGCTTTTTGAGATGGATTCGGATACCCGAGTGAATTGGAATTTCAATTTAGATTTTTACACAATCTTAGAGTAGATAAAGAATGTATAGAGAATTTGTTCGTATTGTTGTTAATGTTATTACAACAGCTAATTATCATAAAGATGCCTTTTTAGGTGTGTTTAAATCAGTCTATTTAGTTTCTTATTACGCCATTTTAAAAAGTACAGTTGTAAACTTTATGTAAGTGTAAGCATACGTGTTAGAAGTTAGAATACGACCAGACTATAAAGAAGTGTAAACTGTTTGCGAACTGTGCGTCTCAATATTCTCAATCAACGGGCTACATTCGTGTCTATTTTCGTTTCCATTATAATTCTGTAGACTAAATAAGAAAATCGAGAGTGGTGAAAGGAAACTGGAGGCTGACTTCTCGATAGACCCAGCGTATGAGCTGGCGCAGCTGGTGTACGGTGACACTGGCGTGCCCGGGCCGCTGCTGACGCCCGACCTCAGCTTCTGCATCGTGTCGGGCGATAACTGCGCGACTTATCCGCGCCAGTTCACCGTGTGTGTGAGTACACCACCAACGCATGACTTCTTCTCTGGCTAAAGGATATAAATGGATAGTATTACTACGTCTTTGGTAGATTGACAACTAGCTCAATCGGCAGGGCAGTGCTATACCGGAAGAGTCTATATTCTTCGCGGTGAAGACCTGGAGCGGATTCCACTCGACCAGGGCGAAAGTTGTGAAGAAAACCTGGGGCCGGTACGTCACCAACCTGCAGTTTTACAGCGACCAAGACGGTAAGTGGAGGTGATATTCTGTGTTTTCATCATCACCAGCCTATTAATGTTCTAATTGTTAGGGAATAGGCCTTCTGGCCATGGCCATGAGGGCATAAAGTGGGCCCAGTGCGTATTGGCGGGTTTTAACGACTTCAGATGCAGCCGGGCCCAACTGCTTAGCTTGCAAAGAGGAGCTTGAAATAGTTAATTTTTGAGCACCCATCCTATGACTAGCCGTTGCGAAAATCACTTAATTTCTGTATCGCACACTACGCCATCTAGCTCTTTGGGTTATGTGAGTAACATACTGATTATGTAACTTATTCGGCATCAGCCTTTTTGCGTCCCCACTATAAGGGGATCAACGGCTCAACGTACCTTCCGAAGCACGGAGCAGTTCGAGGTAATAGTTTTTTGATCACCAATCCCGTGACTAATACTTGCGAAAGTAGTTTAATAACAACGATCGCGGGCCTTGGCGCTTATCCACCACGCTACCGAGCTATTCTTGTGACTTATTATGAGTAAAAATCATAACAGTATCATTGCAGTAGTTTTAAGAGTTTAACTATTACAAAGAAAAAACAAAATCGAATCATTTCTCGTTAAATATTAATGTAAATACCTTGTTATTACGCAATAGTCTAATTTATTTTTACAAATTATGTTTAAAATTTATATTAAATAATATAGTGTACAGACATCAGGTTGCCACATAATGTCATATTTCCTTAAACAATTTTCAACTTTATACGTTTATCAGTTTAAAAGTTTCAATTCAATTTGAAACTTTCGAACAACATGACATATTGTTGACAAGAATCTTAAAGTACTAGTGAGATATTTAAGATGGCAAAATCAACAAGGGCAATGCCAATAATTAAAAAGAAAGAAGAGATATTTAAAAATTCCATCAATAAATGTTGGCGCGTTGGCCTAATAATTTAATGTATTTCATTATCTTTAAAAATTAAATTGTTCTCATTATTTTAGAGTACATTCAACAGCACGTCAGATTATACAAAACTCAAATTTCTCTAGTTGATTTTAATGCATATTAATCGCAAAATGAGCTTAAAATGTGAGCTTAAAGTAATAAAATTTATCTCTCGTTTAGAATCCTACGAAAGTTTAGAAATTTATCAATTTGCGGTTCTTGTTATTTTCCGGTGACATATATATATTATGTTTCCCGCGTAGTATATATAGTACAATATTTTATATTATTAAGATCCTTCGCTACCTGCTATCGACACGGGCATACCTAACACCAAGACTGGTCACTGTTCCAAGACATTGGCCATATTGAAGCAGGCTGTGAAGACAGTCGCCAATATGCCTCATATCAAGTGGATATTCTTGGCCGATGACGACACTATATTAGGGTAAGTGCACGTGTGATGTCATAATATGTAATGTTTTTAAAATAACATTTAAAAAAAGGTTTTGATGTCAGTTTTTTTTTTTTTTATATATAATATGGTAAGGCTTAGAGGTAAACGGTCCTTGTTGATCCTACATTATGATTACAGTTATTACCACCTTTGTCTAATTAATTGAGATTTGAATTATATTGCTTGTGATTGCAAAGTAATGTAGACCCAATCCCTATTAATCCAATAAATTGCATTGAGCTGTATCTATTAAGGTAAATAAAGATTTTTGATTAATTGAAATACTATTCAGCCACCGTTACTGCGGCGCAAGCGTTGGTAGAATCTATTACTGTTCGGTATTATAAATTAAACATTGTTGTTATGTGTTATACACTATTTCAGCCGGAAATCGGCCTCTGCTGGACAAAAGGCTTTCTTTATGTATTAAATGATAAACTTTGCTGCAGGGTTCAGCGGTTATGCGAGGTGCTGAGTTGTTATCGTGGTGGGTCTGATATCACTGTGTTGGGTGAGAGGTACGGATACGGTTATGGAAAAATAGAAACTGCGGCTAAGGGTGAGTAGTATACCGTATATAAATGGGTTTATTTTATGATAATAATATTTATTTTTTCAAAAATTATAGTAATGTGTACGTAAATAAGAAAACTTTGTTTTGTACAGTAACCAAAAGTTAGGTTATACAGAACTGTAAAATTTTTCCACTCGATTTTAAACATTTAAATATTGATGATACAGAACTAAATCACTTACGGATATTTGATATAATGTGCGACCCTGTCTAATTTTAACCGACGTAAAAAATGAAGGAGGTTCTTCATTATTACAGAGTAGACCAATTTTGGTGATTATTTTTTTACTAGACAGCTTATAGGCCTTGTTCGGGATAGAACTAAAGTGATTAAACTGATAAGATATAAAAACTATTATATATTTAAAATAAGGAACTTACAGAGATTATAATTAATGAGGCCTGATTTTGTTGAAATAGGATTAGTAGGTATTTATGACAAAATAACGAAGCGTTTTGCTAAATACCTAAAATTGTTCAGGTGACCTATTTATATCATCGAAAAACAAAAGTAAGCGTATTTTACATGATTTTTGTGTACACCTCTCATATCTTGTACAGTAAGTAGGTGGTCGAGTTTGAATTTTTGATACGAGTGAATAAGGTTGTATCGTTGCGCGGGCTAGGTTACGACTACATAACGGGCGGGGGCGGGACGGCGCTGAGCGTGGGCGGCGCGCGGGCGCTGGCCGCGTGCGCGTGCGCGGCGCCCGCCGCCCCCGACGACATGACGCTGGGCGCGTGCGCCGCGCACCGCCTCCGCCTCGCGCTCACACACTCGCCGCTCATGCACCAGGTTATACGCTGACATGCTCCTAACACAGGATAACTATGGAAACAAATACCTACGCTGCATTGGAGCGTGAGGGTAGCATACTTATTAAAACTAATTAGTAATAACACAACATAAAAAATTTAAAATAGGAGCAGTTGCAGCGTTCAAGCGAAACACGGCTTTTATAAACTTAGAATGGCTTTGGAAATAAAAACACTTATTTTAATGTTATTATGGAAATAAACTGTTACTAGTAGTAGTGGTTTATTTCCATTGTAACAATAAAATTTCGTCATTCTTATACTCGAAATAAAGAATTACGTCACATTGTTTACGAGTATTGAAAAAATATTTAAAGAATAACTTTCATCTGAATTTCATCAAAATGCAGAATTTATAAATACGTTTCGAAATGCGACGGCAGACTTGATTTCTTAGCTTATTTAAAAAAATACATTTAAAGACCTATTTATACCTCAAGTAGAGTTACTTATTTAGTAATATTCTCTTAGCGATTTTATGGCTATATTTCATTTCATTTTACTACTTTGACATACCTTTTGGTAGATAAACGACTAAATTGGTAACACTACCGTCAAACCCATAGTCATTATTATTTATCACGCGTTGTCGTTATTAAAGTACATGACAAAGTTGTAAAATGAAACGAAATATCTCCACAAAATCTATGGCTAATCATAGCTAGAAAGTTAGGCGGTTGCTCCCCTGTTTATATATTTTGTATCTACTCACTTTAATACGATATTGACTCAATGTAAATAAAATGATTATGTCTTAAATTACTACTGCAGATCGAGTTTTTACTGAAATAATAAAAGTTGATCCGAATATATAAGTGAGATTTGTAAATGAAATTTTATTGACTGCAATTTAGACTCTTACGGTCAGTTACGCAAAAGTCAGTTACAAAAATTGAGGTTTAATAACGACTTTAATCCCGAATTACGTTTTATATTTGAAAATTAAACTAATGGAATTTTAATGGACGTTTGTGCAACTGAGCGGTAACATAGTGTTATTACCTTATTCTATTTTTTTGTCTGTCTTAATCCATATGATATTTTGACCATTTTTTTTCCAACTTTCTATGAATATTTAGGCACGCCCGCAAGATTACCCACGCGAGGTGCTGATGCGCGACCGTCCGGTTTCTTTCCATCGGCACTCGTCGCCGGATCCGGTCCGTGTGTACGCCACCTGGTTCCAACACGACGATTTAGCTCTACGACGAAACCGCAGGGACGAACTCTAACCAAATAATACTATTTTGTATACAAATTTTAATGTAAAAATTATCTGAATTTTTTTATGGTATTTCATTTTATTATCGTTGATATCAACAATGTTTATTATTTGTAATAATCATAATAATATATAAATTTCTTAATTATTTTAGTAAATAAATTGTTGATTTATAAAAATAGATATTCGACTGAAAACAAATGTATCACGCTCTAACACATGAGTCACAAAAAAAAAATTGAGATGTATTTGTATTAAGTATGAGAGATCGAGCTCAAGCAATAATATAACCTGAAAAAGTAGTAGTGTCCTATATTTACTTTTTAAATTGTACAAACTAGTCGAAGACTAATGGACAAAGATAATGAAAATATTTTATTGTATATTTTGAGAATGCATTTGGTACCTAAATAGGTGCAATAATTACAAAAAATATGTTAAAATTTGAATTGTACTTGATAGAAAAACGATATAGGTAATAGTTTTTTTTTCCATTTATAATTGTATCCACAAAAAAGTTTACATTTTTAATATATTAAAAATAAAGTTAAATGTTACCAATTAATACAATATCAGAAAGCTGTGATTTGACAGATACTTACAATGTTGTTAAGTTCTTCTTTTAGGTAGGTTATAATAAGTTATATCATATTAATATTCTTTTAAAAGTTATCTCTTATTTTTGAGTGATTATTTTATGACAAGATATTTAAGATTTAAGATGCCATTTTCGTGACATAAAGCTCTAATATTCACATTAATGCTCAGATTCCTAGATGAGTTGCTAAAGCGGTAACATCTATAAACGGAGGTAACACGACATAAAACCGAGACCGAGAATCGAACCCGGACCCTTCGAGATGGAGCGTGCGAGCAACTCCGCCAAAGAAGTCGTTAAATTGTGATTCTGTCAATAACCTACTGTTATAAAAGTACTTAAACTAGTTTATTTAAAATTGATGGTATAGTCAACCTGGCTAGGTTATACCTTAATGCGTTAGGACAAGAGTTCAAAATCAACTGAAAATTTGACAAATGATAAACTGACATGCTTATATTGAGTATTATTATTAAGAAATTAATATTATATAGAGTATATGTTTGTGCATTTTTGTAAATATGGTTATACATATTGTTAAAATATAAATGTCTTATTAATTTGAACATATCGATTAGATATTAATAATAAATTACATATTTTTCTACATAAATTGTTTTATTACTTGTGAAAAAGATGGTACCTAACCTTTTTATGAGTAAGTATGCCATTTTGATATGGGGCCATCTATAAATTACGTCACAAGTCAAGGGGGGGTAGGGGGTCGACGAAGTGTGACAATGTGTGACAAGGGGGTGGGAGGGCCCTAAATTTCGTGACGTCACATTTCAAAATCTATTATAATCTAAATGTTAAAACACGAACTTTAAACTATTACTTTACAAAAACCTAACAAAACATCACATTAGGAGGGGGGTCTTACAAATGTGACCAACTGTGACTAGGACGGGGGGAGGGGCAAAAAATTATGAAAATCGTGTGACGTAATTTATGGATGACCTCTATTACATAAGTAGATGTGGGACAATGCTAAGAGGTCATACATAAATAGTGTCTAACCGAAACTAGTTTTTATGACCAAAACCGAAAACGAATTTCGGCAACAGCCTCAGTTTCGGCCGATACGAAAATTACCTTTATTGACTGAATAAAATAAAGAAAACGTTTTTATAATCAGTCTTTGTTTTTTCTCTGACTGCAAAGGAAAAGTTATGTTTTTGCTATGTATGTAATATTCTCCATTACCTTATATCGCTAGAACTGTTAAGCGGATTTACGTAATTGAAGTATCATTAGTTTTGTTTTAACATTCCAAGTGTACCTACTTAGATAGATTTCGTTAAGGAAAATCAAACATGGCGGCCGTTCCACGCCATATTCAGATAGCTTAAACATGATTATAATATAATCTATGTACCTATTTACTGGCTTTGTACGCAACTTTTTCTGCGTGGTATTATTACTTTTGCTAGCATTTCTTAAAACGCGAAAACATTTATTTTTAAAATCTTAGCCATCTGTCTGAGGCCGCTGGTAACAATCCTCCTTGTCTTTCGATAATTGTTTTTTTTTTAAGTTTATAAGATTTAATGTATTAATTTTCATTATAATTATTTATTTAAATTTAAATTATTATTATTTATTTAAAAAACCTGTTCTATATAATAAACTATTTCCCATTTATAATGAGTCACGCCAATGATTTTTGTTATCAGGATGTATAAAAATTAGGTAGGTAACTCGAGAAAAAAAATTTGTTTATATTTTTAAAAATCCGACGAAGCGACCCCGTTTAATGCGTGACGTCACTTCGCGACACTTCCAGTCTGTACTTGCGGACACTTTTCATATTTTGGCTCGTTGCGCTCTCGCTGTGTCGCTATAAAATAAATTGTTTTTCTTATAGTGAATGAACAAAATGATAAGGAAATATTGTATTCTCCCTACGTTCTATACCTACCGCATGATAGAAATATCCGAAAAAATGGTTGAAGGTAATGAAAAGAGCAAATTCTCTCACAGACACTAGGCACGTGCATTGTTGTGAAGATCATTTCGACGTAAGTATTGTGTTCATTAGAGAAGCTCGGTGGCGTAGTGGATAAGCGCCGCGGCCCACGATCGTTGTCGTTAAGCAACTTTGGCAAGGGTCGGTCACGGGATGGGTGACCAAAACATTATTATACCGAGCTACTCCGTGCTTCGGAAGGCACGTTAAGCCGTAGCTCCCGGCTGCATTCCGCATTGGGCCAGCGTGGAGAGTCATGGCCCATCCTCCTTAACCATCCATAAGGAAGGCCTGAGCTCCTGCAGTGGGCACGTAAAAGGACTGATGATGATGATGATTGTATTCATTATGTATACATCCAAAAGTGTTTCTTTTAAGTAATAGACACCTAATCTAAAACTATACCTAGGTGAATGAGCAGGTTAATGACCTCACGGGCGGCGAACGACGGGGCGGTGAGTTCAGTGTCAAATGTCAAGTCAAAATATAAATTGCGTGTCACATTACAAACAATGAAATATAATTTAATTTTAAAGTAAAATAATAATAAAAGATACATAAAAATTTATTTCAAACGAGAAAATATAAAGTAAAATTGTAGTTATTATTGACAAAAATTTAAAATTTTGTTATTCATGTCATTGGAATTAAATTATATTAAATTGGATAAAAATAAGTCAAAATAAATATTGTTAATGAAAGTGCCTAAAAAATTAATTAAAAATAATAAGTCAAAGTAAATAAATTAAAATTTACTCGTCACTTTTGTCTCCAAAAATCCTTTTATATTACACTATTACTTATTAATTAGAAATGTTTTTAATTTTTAATAAATAAATTACCCTTCTCTAAAATTTATTTAAATTTTGTACTTTTAGCTTATTTAAATTTATATTGTTTCATTTGTTGTTTAATTCGAGGGAATAGAATTCCGGATGCTTCCTGACAAAGCACGCTTCAAGCATGCGGATAGATATTAGAGTAAGTACGTGATTTTTAACAAAGTATGGTCTACACTATGTTGATAATAATTCTTATAGATTTCTTTTGCAGTACGAAGACCCTATCAAGACTTTCCCCACACTACAATACCATAGGAAAGTTTCGAGTGTATATACTCATAATATGCTGCTAATACTCTCCGTATATCCAGTTTGCTCCAGTCTTAAAAGGAATTGACAGTTTCTAATTTTGTATTGTTAAAGTTATATGTTTAATGTAAAGCAGTTTTTGGTAAGGTTTAAATATAATATTTTTATTTTTGTTTAGTTTGAGAAGTAAATTGTGATTTTCCAACAAGTTTTTGATTTTATACTGTAGTGTACTTTGATGGGGGAGAACAAATCAGAAGCCGACGTTTAAGTAATTAATTTATTATTATAGACTTCCATTAAAAGCACACCAATTACAGACGCCAGCATAGAGAACGGTCAGAGAGGTCACAGACTACACTGTCACTGTTCGGTCGTGCCACAGATTAGTATGCGACACTCCTCCCGTCTTAATTTACAAACATAAATATGCACTTATAGCAAAAACAAATTAGGAAGAACTTATAACACTTTTATAAATCTAGTATTTGTCTAGGTTTGGGTACTCTCGAACTACGTCTTACGATTATTGGATTTACTGGTGGTGTGGTTGCCTCAGGGCTAGGTACATTAATATTAGAATTATCACTAACAGAGCTAGGTACAATATCAATTGGTTCATGAACATTATTATCCGAATTATTATTGCTTTTATCTATAGATTTCCGTAAAGGTAACATTTGTGTTATATTTCTAGTTAAATTTCCTTTATCTGTTGCGACTTTATACATTACATTTCCTATAGGCTCTACAACTTTCCCTTGTAACCATTTGTTACTATTATTATACATTGAAACTTGCACATTATCACCAGGCAAAAAACAATTTATTTGTTTACTTGGTAGTAGTTGATTTTTAGGTATCATAACAGAGTTCTTAATAAGTGATAACCTTGTACGTAAAGATCTTCCAAACATTAATTCACAAGGTGCTTTGCCTGTTGATGCATGTGGAGCGGTGCGATAACTTAATAACCATGACAACAATTTCTTATGATAATCATCTTTATCAAACTTACTTGCTAACAAGGCTCTTTTAAAAGTCTGAACTGTTCGCTCTGCTTGACCATTACTGGCCGGATGATACGGAGCTGTACAAACATGTCTAATATTATTACTATTACAAAAATTCTTAAATTCTTCAGAGATGAACTGAGGACCATTATCTGTCACTATTTGTTCCGGCAGTCCAAACCTTGCAAATATATCTCTTAAACTATTAATGGTTGATTCGGTAGTTGTTTTATTCATTTTAACAACCTCTGGCCACTTAGAATGTGCATCTACCACTAACAACCACATATGACCCAAAAATGGACCTGCAAAATCTGCATGAATTCTTTGCCAGGGTTTAGTTGGCCATTCCCAACTATGTAAAGGTTTTAACTCAGGTTTGTTACGAACTAATAAACAACCTTCACAATTTTGTGTTATTTCTTCAATTTCCAAATTAATATTGGGCCACCAAAATAAACCCTTAGCCAAAGCTTTCATTTTTAATGTACCTAAATGTCCCACATGTAACTCATTCAACAATTGTTCCCTTAATTTTTGTGGTATAACTGTCCTTCCTCTCCAAGTAATTACTCCTTTAACCACATACAATTCTTGTTCTTTTCCTTTATATGACAAAAGCTGAGGATCAACTGTTTTAGGCCACCCACTTTCTATATAACTATAAATTTTACTTAACAATGGATCATTAGAAGTAGCTTTAGCTATCAATTCATGAGTTACAGGTGGTACATCCATGAATACATTATTTATCATGGGCTGATTTAGCTCAGAATCTATAATATCAGACTGTGACAGTTGAATTGGCAATCTTGAAGGAAAATCTGCACTAGCATTATGACAAGATTTCCTATACTCTATTTCATAACTATAACTACACAATATCAATGCCCATCTAGTCATTCTGTCTGCATAAATGTTACCAACCGATTTATCTGGATGAAATAAAGATACAAGTGGTTTGTGATCCGTTACTAAAATAAAATTATTCCCTTTTAAATATAAATCAAACTTTTTTACTGCCCAAATTATTGACAATGCCTCTTTGTCTATTTGTGAGTATTTGATTTCTGTGTTAGTCAAAGTACGACTTGCAAAGGCTATGGGTCTTTCT